AATTAATTTAAAACATTTAATATTAAAACATTTTTATTTCTACTGCCGACAGAATATAATTACAACTTCTCATTAGAGTCGCAAAGTAACCTTCCCGTGCGAGTTCAGCCCAGGACTCCCAAATCAAAAAGCTCATAAACGGGAGCTTTCAATAGTTTATTTATAAACTCCCGACAGATTTCCGGGAGATGTTCATTAAGGCATTTTACAAAATTTTTAATACATTTTTAATCATACATTGAATTATAAGACATTTACTGATTTTCTTATGGATATTGTTTTTCAAAACATTCGGAGGTTTATGGGCTCCCGTTTCGGCCCGTTAATTAAGCCGGGCTAAATATCCCTGGTTACCTATTTGGAGTTGTCCGATTACAAACTATAATGAGGTCGGGTCGGGTCGGGCATCAAAAGTTCATAGAATTTCTGGGGCTATCCATCTCATTGGTTTAGTCATTTGTAAGATTTACTATTAAATCGTCTTTTAAATTTGAATATATAAAAGAAGCACATTTATAGCTTACAAATGACATCTCATAAAGTTGTTTGAATTATATTCTGGGATCACATACTAATTGAGATATCATTTAATTGATTAAAATATAAAATAAATCAATACATACCAACACTTGTAACTGCAACATTCGTAATTGTCCCTGTTGTAGTTGCTGTCAAATATATTAATTTAGAATATTTTTACAACATTTTTATTATGTCCGACAGAATAAAATTTGAGAAAAATTTTAAATAATAAATACATACAATCGCTTGTACCATCTGGATCACTTGCAACGGTAACATTGGCAGCACTTGACTTGACCCAATATATTAAAGCAAATGATATAAATATTGATACCTTGTACATTATTAATAACAGAGTAAAATTAATTGATTTATTTTTAATTTATTATTATTTTATAAATTATAAAAATAGGTTAAAATATAATTAATGGCAAGTGTGTACATCACTACAGTTTTTATATTTAATATCTGTTTCACGTTATATTGTGTATTAAATACGAATGTATCCTATGCATAAAAATGCAAAATAATTACCGTGTACGTGTACAATTTTAGATGTAAGTGGGTAATATCGTGACTTGTCAATAAATTGTGCAGGTAGAATTGGTATCAGGTATCATTCTGCAATTGTTAGTCAATCCAAATTATGCTTGGTAATGATATTTTTAAATTTGAGTACATTCTAGAATAATGATAATTATATTTTCAAATAAGATTTGCGGATAAGAATGTACCTTTACCAATACCATTATTAAACATAATTACTGCAGGGTAATGATTAAAGCATCCAAATCGAGTTATTTAAACTATTATTGTGATATCGGAAAATTTAATGAGCTTATGTTACGATTAATGTAATAAATATCATTTCAAGAGATTTGATTTTGACTATAAATCACTTTTAATATGTTAGTAACTATTTTAATTATCTTAGATGTTTATTAATAGCTTAGTTTTTAGGCAAAAATTGTAACATTTTAAACCAACAGTAATTGTCAGTCACTATATAGTAGCAAGGATTGCAATCAATGCTATAGAAACCTACATTTACAGTTAAGTTATTATAGAATTAATTATATTGTCATAAATTATAGATATTTTTTGTTAGTCAATAAAATATATAAAATTATGTTCTATCACAATTAATATTGTATTTTGCATTAGCTTTGTAAACTTAAATTAGTAAGAAGATAGGGGAGGACTTGAAAGGGAAGTGCATAATAAGGGAGGGCAAGAATGTAAGTCTTAAAGGATAGTGCACGTTCCTAAACATTTGCCCGAAATACATTTGCCCGAGATACACTTGCCCGAATTTCATTTGCCCGAATTACTTTTGCCCGAATACTTATGTATTGTTTTATTAATGCTTGTGTATTGTTTTATTGATACCTATTTGCTAATATATTAAAATTTATATATAGTTTTATTGATTCTTATATGCTGTTTTATTAATACTATTGTATTCTTTTATTAATATTATTGTATTCTTTTATTAATATTTATGTATTGTCTTATTGATAATATATACTATTTTATTAATACTTACGTTTTGTTTTCGGGCAAATGTCATTCGGGTAAGTGTATTTCGGGCAATTGTATTTCGGGAAAATGTACCACTCCCATAGTGCAAGATAGGGAAGGGTAGGAACTTTTATTTCTGTCATTCTATTAGATTGAATTCTTTCTAATATTATATTATTATTACCATAAAATCCGCTTGGTCACCCTAATAATATCATACATTACGAAAGACAATTTTTTGATCATTTTAATTATAGTTGACTAGTTATTAAATATGCAATGCCATTTTTTCCAACGTGTTTTGTATATAAACTGTGTGTAAACTTAGCAACAGATACTCAGTCACTAAAGTTTAGTTGAAGCCAATGGACTCTTATATATCGTATTCACAACTAGCGATCGTATCTCTGGTTTCGATCGCCTTTTATTACATATATTTGTATTCATTTATTATATNTCAAGCTTTTGGGAAAAACAATTTATGGACAAAAAGCTTTTCTAAAAAATAATCTGGTCATTCTAGCTATAGTATAGATGGGAAAAGCTATTGTTAAATTTAGTTCAAATATACTAGTGACAAATTTATATGCCACCATATTTCATAAGAATTTTTACTCAAAACTCACCGACATTTGTGATTGTCACTGGTGCATCTAGTGATGGCGTATCTGAATTAATTAAATTAAAACATTTAATATTAAAACATTTTTATTTCTACTGCCGACAGAATATAATTACAACTTCTCATTAGAGTCGCAAAGTAACCTTCCCGTGCGAGTTCAGCCCAGGACTCCCAAATCAAAAAGCTCATAAACGGGAGCTTTCAATAGTTTATTTATAAACTCCCGACAGATTTCCGGGAGATGTTCATTAAGGCATTTTACAAAATTTTTAATACATTTTTAATCATACATTGAATTATAAGACATTTACTGATTTTCTTATGGATATTGTTTTTCAAAACATTCGGAGGTTTATGGGCTCCCGTTTCGGCCCGTTAATTAAGCCGGGCTAAATATCCCTGGTTACCTATTTGGAGTTGTCCGATTACAAACTATAATGAGGTCGGGTCGGGTCGGGCATCAAAAGTTCATAGAATTTCTGGGGCTATCCATCTCATTGGTTTAGTCATTTGTAAGATTTACTATTAAATCGTCTTTTAAATTTGAATATATAAAAGAAGCACATTTATAGCTTACAAATGACATCTCATAAAGTTGTTTGAATTATATTCTGGGATCACATACTAATTGAGATATCATTTAATTGATTAAAATATAAAATAAATCAATACATACCAACACTTGTAACTGCAACATTCGTAATTGTCCCTGTTGTAGTTGCTGTCAAATATATTAATTTAGAATATTTTTACAACATTTTTATTATGTCCGACAGAATAAAATTTGAGAAAAATTTTAAATAATAAATACATACAATCGCTTGTACCATCTGGATCACTTGCAACGGTAACATTGGCAGCACTTGACTTGACCCAATATATTAAAGCAAATGATATAAATATTGATACCTTGTACATTATTAATAACAGAGTAAAATTAATTGATTTATTTTTAATTTATTATTATTTTATAAATTATAAAAATAGGTTAAAATATAATTAATGGCAAGTATGTACAACACTACAGTTTTTATATTTAATATCTGTTTCACGTTATATTGTGTATTAAATACGAATGTATCGTATGCATAAAAATGCAAAATAATTACCGTGTACGTGTACAATTTTAGATGTAAGTGGGTAACATCGTGACTTGTCAATAAATTGTGCAGGTATAATCGGTATTAATGTAAACTAGAAAACCCTATTTACAAATTGAATTGATCAAATTAGGCGAATATAATTAACTAGTCTCATAAATACAGTTTTTGACATATTGACATAATGATTTTGCACATGAAATAACTTAGTTGGGAACATCGAGGCACGAATCTCGATTGAGTGGTTTTAGTTGTTATGATTAGTTAGCCAGTAACACAATTAACATTTTGAATTGACTAAACTTGGCGCCTAAACTAAGTAGCAAGGATTGCAATCAATGCTATAGAAACCTACATTTACAGTTAAGCTATTATAGAATTATTTATATTTTCATAAATTATAGATATTTTTTGTTAGTCAATAAAATATATAAAATGATGTTCTATCACAATTAATATTGTATTTTGCATTAGCTTTGTAAACTTAAATTAGTAAGAAGATAGGGGAGGACTTGAAAGGGAAGTGCATAATAGGGGAGGGCAAGAATGTAAGTCTTAAAGGATAGTGCACGTTCCTAGACATTTGCCCGAAAATATTTTCCCGAAATACATTTGCCCGAATTACTTTTGCCCGAATACTTATGTATTGTTTTATTGATACCTATTTGCTAATTTATTAAAATTTATATATAGTTTTATTGATTCTTATATGCTGTTTTATTAATACTATTGTATTCTTTTATTAATACTTATGTATTGTCTTATTGATAATATATACTATTTTATTAATACTTATGGATTGAGTTATTGATTTATATAGTGTATACTATTTCATTAATACTCTCGGGCAAATGTCATTCGGGCAAGTGTATTTCGGGCAAACGTATTTCGGGCAAATGTACCACTCCCATAGTGCAAGATAGGGAAGGGTAGGAACTTTTATTTTTGTCATTCTATTAGATTGAATTCTTTCTAATATTATATTATTATTACCATGAAATCTGCTTGGTCACCCTAATAATATCATACATTACGAAAGACAATGTTTTGATCATTTTAATTATAGTTGACTAGTTATAAAATATGCAATGTCATTTTTTCCAACGTGTTCTGTATATAAACTGTGTGTAAGCTTAGCAACAGATACTCAGTCACTAAAGTTTAGTCGAAGCCAATGGACTCTTATATATCGTATTCACAACTAGCGATCGTATCTCTGGTTTCGATCGCCTTTTATTACATATATTTGTATTAATTTATTATATTTATTATTATTTATTAATTTATTGTATTTATTTACTATTAATTTATTATTATTTTTTTGTTTATTATAGTTTATTATATTTATTATTAGTTTATTATATTTATTATTAGTTTATTATATGTATTTTTTAGTATATTTATATACACGCTAAAAAACTCATATCTATATTATACTATACATAAGACTCATAGCACGGTATTATGTCTTTCTATTCCTAATAATTAGGTATTTGGTGCGAGATTTCGATTACTGGAGTAAGCAGGGTATTGTAGGCCCCAAACCTATACCTATTTTTGGCAACTTTTTGGAGACATTTCTCGTCCCACTCCACGAGACGGAACTTAAATGGCATCAACGCTACGGAAAAGTATACGGGTATTTACAGTGGCTATAACCACAACATTGTCCCTAATAAGCCTGCTCATTTTATGTGTTTTAGTACTGAATGCAATGACAAACTAGTGTTAAAACTACGAATGTTTTCATTAAGGGCACTGTACTGTTAATAATTAGACAATGCAGGTCATTTATTATTATTATTCAAGCAAGTCACAAAATTAAATCAATAAAATTATAGAATTACCCTGGCGTTAGCCAATAGAGTAAGTTTTAGTTCATAGAGATAACATTAGGTCGCAGTGTTAATATTTTGCCATAGAATAAACATTGTTTACACCGAAAAGCATTTTCCAATACTGACCATACAAATTGTCCTAGACACTTTATGGGCAAACTACCGATCCTGAACATCGCCGACCCCGAGCTAATCAAAGCGATTCTTGTGCGCGATTTTCACCAATTTCACGATCGCACCAAACTATGGCTGTCCAACAATAACATAATGGTTCGCAACGTTCACCAGTTGACGGGCGACGACTGGAAACGGGTTCGCTCTATAGTGACCCCTGTGTTCACGGCCACCAAACTGCGGCAAATGGAGCCCCGCGTACGCGACTGTTTGCGCGACGTGTGCGACCACTTGTTGGACGATTGCGCCCGAAGTGGCCGTACGATCGACACGTTCGCCGTATTCGCCAAATACTCGATGGACGTGATCGCCAGCAGTGTATTCGCCACCAAAATCAATGCTTACGAGTCGTCCGGCGAGCGCGAGAATCCCTTCGTGACGAACGCGCGGCTCATGTTTAACGGCGCGCCCCTCAAGGAGTTGGCGACCGTAGTGTTGCCGCGAGTCGTTCAGAAATGGCTCCGACTGTCCCAAACTACGGCCTCTATGTTCTTCATTCGATGCGTTCGGCACATGATTTCCGTGAGGCGTCAGACGCCGACCCATAAGTACAACGATTTCATTCAACTGCTTATGGAGGCCGAGCGGGCGGACACCTGTCCCCCACGTGACGAGTACGACGTCAACGACGCCCATCACATGAACGAGGGTATGGATCGGCCATCATTTTAGTTGATAGTTTCGGGTGGTTTCATAAATTCGCATGCTCAAATAATAAATAAGCAATTTGAGCATGCGCAAAAAAATTAGAAATTACGCGCGAATGCACTTGAATAAGCTAGGCCTTTTTATTTTCTTATTCATTTTGGTCGAATAGATGTTATTCTAATATATAAGCGATTGTTAAATAATTGATATCTTTTTCCAACCGAAAGGCGAGGAAGAGTTGGCTGTCGACCAAAAGGCGTTCGACATTCGAGTGGCGGACAAACAGCTGTCGGAGGACGAGGTCGTCGCTCAGGCGATACTCTTCCTGTTGGCCGGCTATGTGGCGACGGCGGCAGCGCTGGCCTACTCGACCTACGAGCTGGCGCTCAACCCACACATCCAACAGCGACTATACGACGAAATAATGGAGGCGTCCGCCGATGGGGAGCCGACGTACGACCGGTTGGCAGCGCTGCCCTATATGGACGCCGTCCTATCGGAGACTCTGCGCCGGTATTCGCCGGCCGTACCGCTGGCACGGGTGGCGCTCGTCGACTATAAACTCGGCGACACCGGCGTCACCATCAAAGCGGGCCAACAGATCGAGATCCCGATGTACGCCATACAGCACTCGCCCCACTTCTACCCCAACCC